AGAGTTCTCCTCTGGCCTTCTGCGTGCCTACTGTCGTGCACGGGGCATCCGTCAGACCTTCCGGACTCACCGCAGCAAAATGGGATTGCTAAGCGCCGCATTGGCATGGTCATGGACGTCGCTCGTACGTCTATGATGCATGCGGCTGCCCCCCATTTTCTGTGGCCGTTTGCGGTGAGGTACGCGGCGCATCAGATCAACCTCCACCCCAGGGTCTCCAGGCCGGAGACCTCCCCAGCCTTGCTGTGGACGGGGAAGGTTGGCGATGCGTCGGCGTTCCGGGTCTGGGGATCTCGGGCGTTTGTCCGCGACCTGTCTGCGGACAAACTATCCCCTCGTGCTGCTCCTTGCGTCTTCCTGGGGTTCCCCCCTGACGCGCCTGGGTGGCAGTTTTACCACCCCACCTCTCGCCGTGTTCTGTCCTCCCAGGACGTCACGTTTGACGAGTCGGTCCCCTACTACCGCCTCTTCCCCTACCGCACTCCGTCCCTCCCCCCACCCCCACTCTTCCTGGTACCAGGTCCCCCCCAGGTAGACCCCCTCCCCCCGCAGGGTCCTGCCCCTTCAGGTGTGTCCCAGGTAGACGCAGTCGAGCCTGTCGAGGTCACTGGTGACTCTGGTGCTGCTGAGGGTGCTGAGGCTGGGGGTGCTGTACCTGGGGGTGCGGAGCCTAGGGGTGCTGGGCCTGGGGGTGCTACGTCTGGGGGTGCTGAGCCTAGGGGTGCTGAGCCTGGGGGTGCTGAGCCTGGGGGTGCTGAGCCTGGGGGTGCTGAGCCTAGGGGTGCTGAGCCTGGGGGTGCTGAGCCTAGGGGTGCTACGTCTGGGGGTGCTGAGCCTAGGGGTGCTACGCCTGGGGGTGCTGAGCCTGGAGGTGCTCCGCCTGGAGGTTCTCCGAGTGCTTCGTCTCGCCGGGAGCCACTTTCGCCACAGGAGCTGCGTGAGTGGTTTGCCCGGCGCTGGAGGCGTGCTGCTGGTGCTGGAGGTCCTTCGGCTGCTGAGGGTGCTGCGGTCGCGGGTCCCGGAGGTGCTCGTCCTGGGTGCACTGGAGCTGGTGCTGCTGAGGGTGTTGGCGCTGAGACTACCGCTGGCAGTCCTACTGGGGGTGCTCCTGGTGCTGCTGGAGGTTCTGGAGCTACTGGTGGTGCTGCTGGAGCGGGTGCTCCTGCTGAGGGTTCTGGTGCTGTCCCTGCTGCTTCTAGCGTCGCCGCGCGGCCTCGACCGTACTTCGTTCCACTCCTGCAGCAGGTTCTTGGTCTTCCACCTTCTACTGGTCCTCCTCCTCCCTTAGAGTGTCCACAGCCTGTCTCGTCCCAGCTACAGTTGCAGCCTACCTCCCCTTTGCCTGCTCCTTCTCCCTACACTGGTCCTACTGGAGGTCTGGCTGAGCGTCGTGAGCCTGCGTCTCGCCCTGTGTCGCCTGTCCGTGCTGCTCGCACTAGTGGTCGCGGTTCGCGTCAGCGTCCTCCTCCTGTCCCTGGCACGCACCGGATGTCTCTGCGTCCGTCCACTGCTCCTCTGCGTGCCCCTTTGCCTTCTCCTCCTGAGTCCTCTCTTCCTGCTCTTGCCGACCCGGAGTCGGACTCTCTTCGTGCTGCCAGTCCTACTGTCACGCGTCTCCTTGCTACTGTTGTCACTGACCCTTCTTTCGAGTCTACTGCTGCGTCCGCTCTCGTTACTGAGCTCGTCGACTTTGCTGCTCGCTGTCGCTTAGACTACGCTGCTAGTCTTGTCGCTGAGTCTGAGTCTGTCTGTCCTCCGTCCGTCGGGGGTGAGTGTGCCCTTGGCACGGACGTCCTTGAGGACAGACAGGAGGAGTTCCAGTGTCTGGCAGCTGTCTCACCTCATCTCGTGTCCGTACTGCTTACCCCTGAGGGAGACCCGGATGCACTTGACATCCCGACTCCGCGCTCTTACGCGGAGGCGATAGAGGGTCCCTACTCCTCTCAGTGGCAGGCAGCTATGGATGCAGAGATGGCTTCCTGGAAGTCCACAGGCACCTACGTTGACGCTGTCCCCCCTCCTGGGGCGAACATCGTCAGTGGCATGTGGATCTTCAGGGTGAAGCGGCCGCCTGGTTCTCCGCCTGTCTTCAAGGCGCGTTACGTGGCTCGTGGCTTCAGTCAGCGGCAGGGAGTTGACTACTTTCAGACCTTCTCCCCCACCCCGAAGATGACCACTCTTCGGGTACTGCTGCACGTTGCTGCTCACCGTGACTACGAGCTGCACTCTCTTGACTTCAGCACAGCTTTCTTGCAGGGCAGCCTGCACGAGGAGATCTGGCTGCGTCGCCCACCTGGCTTCACTGGGTCTTTCCCTCCTGGTACCCAGTGGAGTCTCCGGCGTCCAGTCTACGGTCTCCGCCAGGCGCCACGTGAGTGGCACGACACACTGAGGACTACGCTTGCGGCTCTTGGGTTTGCTCCTTCTACTGCCGACCTGTCGCTGTTTCTACGCACCGACACCTCTCTGCCGCCGTTCTACATCCTCGTGTACGTCGACGACTTGGTCTTTGCCACAGCTGACACTGCTGGACTCGCCTACGTGAAGTCCGAGCTGCAGAAGAGACACACGTGCACAGACCTGGGTGAACTGCGCAGCTACCTTGGCTTGCAGATCACCCGGGACAGAGCACGCCGCACCATTACCCTGACTCAGTCACACATGGTGCAGCAGGTCCTTCAGCGCTTCGGCTTCACGTACTCCTCGCCTCAGGCCACTCCTCTGTCTACTCGCCACTCGCTCTCAGCTCTGCCTTCGGATGAGTCCGTAGAGTCGAGTGGCCCGTACCCAGAGCTTGTTGGCTGCCTCATGTACCTGATGACCTGCACACGACCTGACCTTGCATACCCTCTTAGCATTCTTGCACGCTATGTTGCTCCTGGGAGACACAGACCAGAGCACATGGCTGCAGCGAAGAGGGTGTTGCGCTACTTGTGCAGTACGTCGGGCATGGGGCTAGTGCTTGGAGGGCGGAGTCCAGTGGTCCTCACTGGGCACGCGGACGCTTCTTGGGCTGACGACCAGGCTACGCAGCGGTCGTCACAGGGTTACACCTTCAGCCTTGGTTCCGGCTCTGTTTCGTGGCGGGCTACTCGCTCGTCTTCTGTTCTTGGCTCGAGTTGTGAGGCTGAGATCTACGCCGGGGCCATGGCTGCACAGGAGCTTCGCTGGCTCACCTACCTGCTGACCGACCTTGGAGAGCCGCCTCGTTCTCCTCCAGTCCTGTACGTAGACAACAAGGCCATGCTGGCCTTGTGTCGAGAGCAGCGACTGGAGCACAGAACAAAGCACATTGCTCTCCGCTACTTCCTTGCTCGTGAGCTACAGCAACGTGGACAGTTGCGGCTTGCGTACGTGGCCTCTGAGGCCAACACTGCTGATGTCTTCACCAAGGCACTTCCGCCTTGTGATCATCAGCGCTTCTGCACTCAGCTGGGTCTTGTGCCCGTCTTGCCTCACTTGCTCTCCTCTTGACCTTGCTTGTACTCTCACATATATATATACCTGCTCTTGCTTGTCTAGCTTTATATATATGTGTGTACTTGCATGTGAACTGGCCGTGTGGCCTTGACCCTGTGCTCGGACTGTGTGGTGACTTTGTGATCCACCCTGAGCTTGCTTTGCTTTGCTTTGCTTGACTGGTCTTGTGACCCCTTGTTCTCCCCCACTTTGCCTATGGGGGTGTGTCAGAACATTGTAGCTTATGCTGTTGTGTAGGCTATAGTGGGGTATCCCATAGGGGGTACAACCAATTAGGGTTTCATATTTGTACTCACTTCATTTCATAGTTCATGCATTCTCGTTCTCATTCTCACATATTGCTCCGAGCAGAAATTCTTGTTCGGCACGTGGCGTCGTGTCTCGGGTTGACCTCGCGTTAGCGCATCGAATCTCTCTGCTGCACACACCATGTCGTGGTAGTTACTGTAGTTTGCAACAATCACATGTCAAAAGACTTCCATTTTCAGCCCCTCAGTGTACGCTTTCAGTTTCTCCCCTTCGGTCAGGTCAGGAATTTGGTTGAATAAATTCTCCATCTGCTTCATGTACACATGATGCCCGACCCATGCACGTGAATTTGCCCTGCCCGCCGCAGAAACTCTGCACGCGTGCATTTGGTGCCGGGCAGTTGCACCCTGGTTATAGGCATTCAGTGCCACTTGTGCAAGTTGGGGTAATCACGACAAGAGCAACAAGTCCACCAACAACAAACGCCCCCGCCCCCATGTTTCCTTGTTTTTAGGCCAGGGACAGGCAGAGCGAAAGTCGTGGATGAAATGGGTTTGACGTCACGCACGGCTTCGCTGCTTACTGTATGCCACGTCGTCTTGTTTCAATGTGCGCCAAACGCACAAGGCGCAGTTAGAATCGCCACGTGGAAGTTGCCCGTACAGCATTGACGCACGTCAGAGTTGACTACTGACCAGATGACCCACGTCACCCTATGCATTGAAGTGGTCTCTAGTGCATGATAGAGACCCCTTCAAGGGGAACATTCACTCCCTGAAAGGGATTATAAGACTCGCGTACGACCCTCGTGCCTAATAAACACACGTCACATCGTGTGGCGTGTTGTTACCTATGAATGTTATGCGCAATTCCTATTGCACATTCACCCGATGAATGTGCACAAGGCTAAAACTCAACATCGAACTTGATGAAATTACGAGAAGCGAGAAGCACCAACCGAGGATAAAATGACGCAATTTTACCCTCGACATTTATAGTCCCTTCCCACTTACCTCTCTATCCATGCCTCGCCTCTACCGCCGCTCCCAGCTTCCGGTGTACATTAAGAATGCGATCTGTGCGCATCATGTGCAGAACCCTCTTATGCGCCAGGTTGACCTGGTGCGCTGGTGTTTTATCGGTACGAAATCCGTCCCGATCGCTCTACTATCGGCCGGATTTTGAAGGGAGCGGATCGATGGCGCGCGCCGTCCGCATCGAGCAACCTCGTCCGTGTTCGGGGTGGAGCTCACCCCGACCTCGAAAGCGTAATGGTGCGCTGGATCCCGCTCACGCTGCAGACGATCCACGACCACGTCGCGGTCATCGCACGTGACCTGGGAAAGCCGCCGTCCTTCCGCTGTTCCGTGGGATGGGTGCGCCGCGCGCTGCGGCGTAATGGCATCCGGTGCCAGAGCGCTGCTGGCGAAGCCGCGGATCAGGATATGGCGGCCGTGCGCACTTGCAAGGAGAAGCTCCCGCAGCTTCTCATGCACCTCTCCGTCTCCAACTTCGACGAGACCGCCGTGTTTCTCTCGGTGTTGCCGCGGAAGACATACGGGCGTTCTCGTGTGGCTGGTCGCAAGATTCCGAAGGAGCGCCTTACCGTCGGACTTCTTGTGAGCGCTCGTTGCATGCATTTTGCCCGCTCTTTATCTCGAAGTCGAAGTCGACCCCGATGCGCTGTGCTACTTGCAGAACAACGCGAAGGGCTGGATGACCGCTCCGGTAAGTGATTTTTGCGGCGAGTTTGTAGCCGATGATTAATGTTATGCGAGGTTAATATGCTTTTTTTATAAAATGAATTTTCTCATATATACATCTCTGCTCCCGCCTTTTCCCTTCTATTGTCCGCAGCTCTTCACGCACTCTATGGAGCAATTGAACGCGGCGATGTTCGCTGAGGAACGTCACATCGCCATCCTGCTCGACATCGCCTCGAGCCACGTGCTCAAGACCGAGGGAGCCGAGACCGAGGACTTGTTCGGCTTCCGCACCCGGTCGCTGAGCAACATCAGGCTGGTGTTCCTTCCGCCGAACACCACATGCTTCACTCAACCGCTGGACTAGGACCTCATCGCCATGATGAAGGCCCGCTACAGGTAGCATTGGCTCGAGGCCGTCGTTGCGAAGTGGGTGGAGGGCGGCGCCACGACGAATCTGGTGCGCTACAAGCCGAATCTCCGCGACATCCTGGCGTGGCTGCTGGACGCGTGGATGAACATTGGTTCGCGCACGATTCAGGGGTGCTGGTGGCGGACGGAGTGCCTCCCCCTCGCGTCGGCCCTGTCCCTGTCCCACGTGGGCGCCGCGGGCCTCACCCCTGGTGGTGGCGGTGTTGCGCCGCTCGCCATCGATCTCGATGGCGAAATCGATGACGTCGGCATTCTCATCGACCAGCTTGGCCTCGGGCCAAGCGCAATGCCGGCCGCCGACTTTGTCGCAATCGACGCGGGGCAGCCGACGTGCGCCGAGCCGAGAGAGGACCCTTTGGCTCTCGAGCCCGCGACGGTGTATTCGGCTGCCTCGTGGGAAGCGCCGACGAGCATGGAGGCCGTCTACAACGACGACAACCCCGCGTCCCGCGAGGCTCGTCGCTATGCGCGCGCCGCATGTGAGATGCTCATCGGGTACGCGCGCGCCACCAGCATCACCCCCCGCAAGCTGTGCGCTCTTTTTGAGATGCGCAACCCGATAATTATCGAGCGCATGGAGAGGCCCCCAGGCATCCGCGACCCCAGATGCCGTGCGCCCTCGTCCCCGCGGGCGCGTCCTCCCTGCGTGGATGACGGCGCCCTCTCCTCGCCAGGCGCTCATTGATGTTGGCGCGCCTGCCGTCATGGATGGCTTCATGGACGCGGCGGAGTGGGTGCGTCTGTGAATGCGCCCAACTCCTCTCTCAGGACTTGGTGTCTCACCAAGTGCAACAATGTCAACATCTCACTGACATTGGTGTAATGTCAGTGAGTGTTGGTGCTGTTTTATGTTGGATGAGTTGGCTTGCTGTGATTGGCCCTTGGGTTGTTTGTGAGGGTATGGGTTGGATAATGTAATGGGCCAATACAGTTTGCTGAATCAATGTGGTAACAACAACAATAGTTCAACAACAAACAAGGCAACCCAGTACTGTTTCAGGTAAAACAAACATGTATCTGTGTTATTTATAAGCCCATGTTGGCCCACGCGAACTGCGACGAACCCCACGAAATGTCTATACTACTTACAAGCCCAAAGCACAAGGCAACCTTGGGGGACTCTAACGAGCATTAGGTGTACTGCGCTACATTGCCGTACTGTTTATATCGATGAACCTGCTGTCACGCCATGAAGCTGAAGTTTATCGGTTCGAAACGCTTAATTAAGTCTACCCGAAACTGCGTCTACGATCCTTCGCCTCGGACCACGTCACTGTAGTAAACCCACTCGAGCGTCGTGCCTCGCAACACTGTTGCTGCAAGCCGAATTCGTGTTGCGTCATTGGTCGGGGTCGTGCAGCCAATGGACTCGAAGTATTTTTTTAGGGTTGCCATGAATCGCCGAACGTCCGATCCCTTCGCGCTCGGATCGAATGCCTCCCGGAGCCTCGGTCGTGCTGCTTCGAGATTCGCCATAGCTGGTGCCACTACTGCTGCGTGAAATGTAGGTGTCGCCGTTGCGTCTGCTGCCATCGCTGCTGTCGTGGCGGCTGCCGACTGGTTCGCGAGGAGCGTTTCAATTTGCTAGAGTGCCACTTGCGTCTAATCTATTTCCCTGCAAAGGGTGGCGACCTCTTGTACGAAATTGTCACCGTGACACTCCATTCCTGCCGACATCGCGTTTAAAAACCGAAAGCGAGGGGGACTGAAAAACACGAAACCAATTTTACCTACCGGAAATCGGTGCGTCTCGTTCGTCGCCCCAACGATTTTTTTAAGACGGGTTTTTAGCGGTCAAAAGAACTTCGCGTGTAAACGAGCTCTGATTACCAAGTGCGAGGATCGATAGGATCGAGCTCAGAAAAGAGAAATAACCAGGGCCAGTAACCAGGTGTTACGCGAAGGTTCTGAGGGTCGCAAAGCGTCTCGAATGGAGCCTTCCTGAATTCAGCAGAAGGCGATTCGGTGGCAACCGAAAACCCTGGAATTTTGTACACACAACCTCTAGTTCGGTGGTAGAATCATTATAAAATATAGGAAAGCATCTAACCTAGGAAATCAGTAAAATCATGCATGGTAAATAAACCTAAGCTAGAAAAAGCATAATAAAGTCAAGGCAAGCAAGCAAAGCAAGCATAAGCCGTCGTACTCTTACAGTGAAGATGTCTGCAGTGTTGGCCTCTGGGTCAACGAAGTCCAGACGTGCCTAGCCGCGTCGTTGCAACTATCGCAGGAGAAAGTACCTGACGTCGATGTGCTTCACTCTGCTCTCCAGTCGAGGGTCTCGATAGGAGGATTATGGACTCAGCAAACAGGTCGGTCCAGAGCACGGCCTCTCATCAAGGTCAGTGAGCAAGAAGGTCAACCAGCGAAGCTCCTGCACAGCCATGGCACCAAAGTAGATCTCCGCCTTTGCGCTAGACTGTGCCACAGACGACGACCGCGTAAACCTCTACGACATAGCTCCAGCGGCCAAGCTGAAGCAGTAACCTTGAGTAGACCGCTGAGTCTCAACGTCGTCGGTGTAGGAAGAGTGCAGCTCCTGCTAATGCTGCTCCAGCTCCAGCCTCTTCTGCTCCAACCTTTCCTGCTCCTCTCGCTCCAGCCGACGAAGCTCTTGGAGATAGGTCGGGTAGCAGTGGGGAGAGGGAGTAGACACCACGGAAGTAGCGCCTCTAGCTCCAGATCCCTCAGAATCATCACCTTCAGGGCCAGTGCTGATGAGTCCAACACCCCTCGACCCAGCACTAGCACCCCCAACGCCAGCACGGATAGCTCCAGCACCCCGGAACTAGCACCTCCAGTGTGAATATCCTCAACTCCTACACCCCCAGAACTAGCACCTTCAGTGCTAGTACCCTCAGCTCCAGCACCCCCAAAACTAGCACCTCCTATGCGAGTACCCTCAGCTCCAGCACCCTCAGATGTAGCACCTCCAGTGTCAGTATCCTCAACTCCAGCACCTGTCAAAACATATGCATAATTGTATCTAGGCTATATTGGGGCTAGCCTTAGGGGGTACACAAATAGTCTCGACACTCTAGTCTTGTACCCCAATCTTCACCTAATCATCATTCTCGTTCCCTAGCTAGTGATTCTAACATGGTATTAAGAGCACAATGCTCCTTAGGACCGATTTTTTAAAAAGGGCCCACCACTACTATTTCGATCTACTGCCCGAGTCGCGCCCCTAGGAGAAATGCGAAATTCGAAACCGTGCTCTAGGCGAGACGGTTCCCTAGACGCGATTTTTTTCCCTCCTAGTCACGTGCGACCCCCCCCTGAACGCGTAGGCCCGTCGCGAAGCCCGTACAGCCCACGTAGGCCCGTCGCGAAGCCCGTACAGCCCGCGTAGGCCCGTCGCAAAGCCTGTACAGCCCGCGTAGGCCCGTCGCGAAGCCCGTACAGCCGTCGCGCAGCCCGTACAGCCCGCGCCAGGCCGTCGCGCAGCCCGTACAGCTCACGTCAGGCTCGCACCCAGCGCGTAAAGCCCGCGCCAGGCCCGCACGCGGCCCGTGTTACTGCTACTCACTGCTGCTGCTACTGAAGCTAGTGCTGCTACAACTAGTGCTACTGCTGCCACTGCTACTACGGCACTTGCTACAGCTACTATTGTCTGAAACTACTCCAGCTACAGCTAGTGCTACTGCTGCAGCTCCTACTACTACACTTGCTACAGCTAGTGCTACTGCTGCAGCTCCTACTACTACACTTGCTACAGCTAGTGCTACTGCTGCAGCTCCTACTACTACACTTGCTATAGCTAGTGCTACTGCTGCAGCTCCTACTACTACACTTGCTACAGCTAGTGCTACTGCTGCAGCTCCTACTACTACACTTGCTACAGCTAGTGCTACTGCTGCAGCTCCTACTCCAGCGCTTACTGCAGCTGCTCCTGACTGAAGCTACTGCTGCTACAGCCCCTGAAGCAGCCGCCCCTGGTGCAGCCGCCCCTGGACCCTCGAGCAGCCGCCCCTGGAACCAGAGCAGCCGCCCCTGGCCCCTGAAGCAGCCGCCCCTGGACCCAGAGCAGCCGCTTTGCACGCCCTCGCGTGCCCCTAGCGTACCGGCCCCGCCCCACTCTGCCCTGCACGCCCTCACGTGCCCCACCTCGAGTAGCCGCTGCCTAGCCGAGCCGAGCCGCCCCACCGAACCGCGTCACCCGGCCCGAGCCGCGCCGCCCTACCGAGCCGCGCCCCTGATTCTGTCACTGCTACTGTCACTACTGCTGTTTCTGCTACTACTACTGCTACTGCTCCTACTGTCACTATGGCTAGCCCTCCTGTGCTAGCTTTCGATGCTGAGGGCCGCCCAGTGAAGTTTGACACCTGGCTCGATGACCTGCACCTATTCCTACAGCTCACTACCAAGGAAGACATCTCACTGTACGATCACGCCTTAGGCCATGCCACTGCCCCTGCTGCTATAGCTGACAGCACTTCCCGCTCACAGTGGCAGACTCGTGACGCCCACGCTCGCTTTGCTATTCGCAACTCCCTGCCGATAGATGAGCGCGAGCACTTTGGCCAGCACAAGACTGCACAGGCACTGTACACCGCTGTCGTTGCCCGCTACTCCTCACCTGCCTCTGCCGCGCTAGGCCGTCTCTCACTCCCCTACCTGTTCCCCGACCTGGCCTCTTTCCACACAGTCGCTGACCTCATCACGCACCTCCGTACTAGTGAGGCCCGCTTCCGTGCCGCTATGCCCGATGAGTTTCTTGCCACGAACCCCCCCCCGCTCTGGCTCACTCTCTACCACCTAGTCACCCGCCTCCCTGACACTCTGCGTGCAGTCAGGGATCACTTCCTATCTCGCTGCCCCACTGAGCTCACCATTGCCCTCCTCGAGAAGGAACTACTTGCAGCTGAGGCTAGCATAGTCGCTGTAGGTGCCTCTCGTGGCGACCCCCGCACCCCTTTCTTTGAGGGGTGTTCCCCTTCCCCCCTTCTTCCCTCTGTAGCCTCTGCTTCTGCTGCCGACCTCCTTGGTGCTGAGAAGGTCGGGACTGCGTCCACTTCGAGCTGGCGCCACAGCGGCAAGGGCAAAGGGGGCAAGGGAGGCGGAGGTGACGGCGGGGGAGGCGGTGGTGGGGGCGGTGGAGGCGGTGGGGGTGGTGGTGGGGCTGGAGGGACTAGTGGCAGCGGTGGGGGTGGTGGCGGCAGCGGCGGGGGAGGTGGCAGGGGCGGGGGCGGTGGTGGGGGCGGCGGTGGTCGTGGCGGCGGCAGGGGAGGGGGTGGTCGAGGAGGTGGCGGCGGCGGTGGTGGTCGTGGAGGCGCTGGCAGTGGCCAGAGCCAGCAGCGCACTCCGTCGCCCCAGGAGCTCCGTGAGTGGTACTCTCAGCACGGGGGGGGGGGGGGGGTGGCCTTAGCTGCACGTACGTCATCCGCACTGGTGACCGCACTGGTCAGACGTGTGGGAGGGCGCACACCACGCAGCGCTGCTTCTCTCGCCTCGACGACGCTTGGCGTACTCAGTTCCTTGATGCCACTGAGCTGCCCCGCTGGGCTGATCTGATGAAAAAGAACATTGATATCTATGCTCTAGACTTTGATGCTATTCTCACTGCCATGTATGTGATGTCTACTAGTGGAGAGGGTGCTCAGTACCTGCGTGTTCCGCCCGACCCGGGCATTTGGACCAGTGAGGCTACCGCTCTAGGTGCTAGTGAGGCTGCCGCTCCAG